CACACACACACACACACACACACACATATACATTATGCATGATCGCATTAAAAAACCTGCACTAAAAAAACCCGTGAAACAGCGAAGCCGCGGAAGGTGAACCGCGTTATAGCGAGGGATTACTGTAGAGTGATGATATAACATACTGCTTATGATTAAATCAAACTGCTCTGAACCTGAATGTGTTGAACCAAGTATAGTGATTGGATTTTTCGTAGGTGGCAAATACCAAATTGATAATGAGTTTTAAGGGATTTATGTGATTATGGAAAAAGGAAGTACTGTACAGGAAAAAGGAATTGAAAAGTTGGTGTGAGGTATATTCAAAACAATATACCGTCCAAAATTTGCCACTGAGTCGTAGATAACTGAATTGGCACAGTTATTGAGTCACCGGTAGGCGGTTCAAATTGGGTAGAACCATTGAGTCTAGGTTTGGCCAGTAGCTGACGAGCAAAGACCAGAGTTCGTAGGCAATTAAAAAATTCGTGGTTTATTGCTGAGGCAGGTCCAGATAATTTCTATTATTCTGGATGCTGTTAAATTGGAGGACTGGCGACTGGAGATCACAGTCTGAGTAAACAGCTGTATTTTTAGGGCAAGTTAGGGACAGCTCCATTGTTACAATTGGAGAATTACGTGACGTCACACGGTCCATAAGGGAGTATATTGGACGGTGAGTATGATAAAAACATGGTGAACAGTAAGATGGACGGAAGGCCTGAAGGCAAGAAAACGGTTAAAATACCGTCCGGTTGTAAGTAGGAAGAAAAAAGAAGGTGAATGCATTGCGCAAAGAGAGAAAAGGGCGAATGCATTGCGCAGACAGGTAAGTAGAGCGAGAAAACAAGGTTTTAAGAATAAATTGTAAGAATAAGACAAAAGTTTGAAATAGGAAAAGGAAAAGCTAAGTGAAATTCAATTTGAGCTATATTGCATTTCATGGGTAGCTTGACCACTGCCGTCGACATTGGAAAAAGAAAAAAATTAATAACCAAAGTAACTCCGACAAAGTTATGATAAACAAGGCAGCGATGATGCCTCCTCCACCGCATGGGGTGAGGAGCGCTAAATTTATGAGCCCACTACATGCGCCGAGTGGCCATTTGAACATAGGCGAGGAAAGGGGGATAACACATTCTAGCCATTTTACTGGCCCCCACCCGAATCCATTGTGTGCCAAGCTTCCCCCTGATCTGCCCAGGGTGGTTCATAAACAATTGGTAAAATTAGAAAAATGTATGCAAATTAAACAGGATAATGAGAGCATGAGTGTATGGGATGCAACCACTTTTATAAGTAATGAGACTGAATTGGCTAGGCAAATGTTGCTGGATTTGCCTAAAATTGACTATGACATACAGTTGAGGGCAATAGACTGGCTTAAGAGTAAGTATTATTTACCCAAAGAGATTATGGACCTTTTAGAGCAGGGGTCCCCAACCTTTTTTGCCCCACGGACCGGTTAAAGTCAGACAATATTTTCAGGGACCGGCATTTAAGGTGTGGCGAATTAATACAACAAAATAATATGGTATGAGCTGCATGAAAACTGTGGTGTTTTCGAAATATAATAATAAACACAAGGAGCGTCTAATCTGGTCGCAACACTCTTATCGCTCTGGTAATGTTTAATGCCTTCAAAATACGATACAACGCAAATTCAAAGTGCATGAAAATGACGACTCACCACA